CTTTTCTTCCAAATAGAAACAGTCTGTTAGAGCATGGGAAATAAACACAACTTAAAGTCTCAGGAAGTTCCTGAAACTTATAAAAGTCACAATACCCTGCCCTAAGTTCTATAAGCAGTAATGATTGCTGGGGAGAGGAGACTCTTGGACAGGCTGATCTCCATGCAACACATGGCAGGAGCTCCAGGCATTCAACCTTCATGGATCATCACCCAGGCTATGTGGGCTTTTGGTAATGGTAAGGTTTTTGAGTCACCCAGGCTTCTGCTAAAAAAAAAAAAAAAAAAAAAAAATCCCTCATTCACACTCCTGTACATAACTCCAATCAATAATCTCATTGGCTCACTAAGCTGGACTTGTATGGACCCCTTGCTTTGGTCTGTCTTCAGTGCCCTATCTGGGTGAGCAGGTGTGGGTTTGTGTCTCCTCAGGAAAAGTCACAGGACGTGTATGAACTGGAGACACCAGGGAGGGAGAAACTAGCTTATTGGTAGGTAAAAGTGGTAAGAAAAGAAGTGATTCAGAAAAAAAATGTTGAATCAATTAGTTCATTTTCTGATGTTTGTAACAAAACATCACAAACTGGGTAAGTTGTGAAGAAAAGAACTCTGTTTAGTTTGTTATGCTGGTCCAAGGCTAAGAACTGCCTCTATGAGTGACCTTCATGCTGACGGAGTCCCAAGCAGCCACTGTGCCATATTAAAAAACAATCTACGACCTCCTTCCCTTTATAAGGCTACTAAGATTCAATTACGCACCTCTCAGGTGACTTTATGAACAACCCTCCCCCTCCCACTTCATCAACTCCTAAAGGTCCCACTTCTACTCACCACAGTTGGAGTCTATCCTCCCTCTTAACAAACACATTAGTGAGTTTTGGAGAGGGCAGATGGCAGCTACCCCACAGAAGATGCTCAAGGCCCCCAAAGGGTTCCTTCTGCTTCTTCCTTGCAGACAACGCCAGCCACAGTCACAGAATCACACTGGCCTTTTCCTGTTAGTGTTGCTACTTAAGCAAGTCCCCAAAATAAAATGAATGCTTTGTGAACCTAAGGCTTCCATTATCAGGAAAGAGCAACACATTAGCCTACAAATAGCCTCAGTGGATTTATTTATGATTAATTATTAACATGATCTTTTTTCAGCAGGTAGAAGAGAAATCTTAAAGGAAACTTCTTCCTAATTGAAAACAGAGGAAAGGTTTGAGCATGGGCACTTGGGTTGGCCTCCCTGGGACCTGAGATCAGGATTCCTGTCCCAGTAATTGTAGGAAGCAAGCTTTCAGTAGAGGAGAACAGGGAGCAGGATACTGCTGGAGAGCAGCAGAAATGTAGGGCAGTTGGAGGCAGCTTCAGTTTGTGCTGGAATTAGTCCCATCCAGAAGCAAGAAGCTGAGAGACTGGGAAGATGGCTTAGTTGGTAAAGTGTTCACTATGCAAGCATAAGGACGTGAGTTCAAGCCCCAGAATGTACAGTTCACATCTGTAATCCCAACACTGAAGAACAGGCAGAGGAAGATCCTGGGGGCTTGCTGGCCATCCAGTATAATTGGCAAGCTCCAGGCTCCAGTGAAAGATCCTGGCTCAAAGACAAGACAAAGAGAGATCAAGAGAGACACCTGATACCAACCTCTCATTGCCACACATGCTCAGGCACACACACACACACACACACACACAAACACACAAACACACACACACACACACACACACATACACACACACACACACACACACACAGTGGTGCAGAACAACATCTTCCATAATCAGGAACCCAGGACTGAGCAAGGGGAGACAGTAGTTATCAGCAGGGCAGATAAGGAGACATAGCCCCTGAAGACCAGTGACCATAGCGGAGCCTGAGGTCATGCAGGAGGGTTCCAGGAAGGCAATAGATGCAATGTTTGGAAGTTGAAGATGATCTAAAGATGATCTCAGTAGGTAGAATGTTTGCCTAGTGTGCACAAAGCTCTGCATTCCATCCCAGCACTGCATAAACTGGATATAGTAGTGCCCACTGATAGTCCAAGCACTTGGATGACAGGTAGGAGATCAGAAGTTCAAGATCACCCTCGACTACACAGTGAATCTGAGCCAGTCTGGACTATATGGTGAGACTCTGTCCTAAAATGAGACAGGGGATGAAGGGGAAGGAGAGAAGGGGAGAAAAATGAGTAAGTATATTAATTATGCTGGACACCAAGTATGTAAATGCATGTGCACACATGTATGTGTGTGAAAAACCTGAAAGGTTCCTAAAGTCAGTTCCTGATGGAGGCCATCTTTTCTCCTCTGGCAGCTTCTTCAAGAGAGTTCACAGCACCTTAGACCCTAGGTATCAGAAAATAGAGACTTCCAAACCCTAATCTGCCTTCTTTTGATGGTAAACTGCAAAGCCCAGATGCTCCAATCTGGGTTACATGGCATGACATCCTCCAATTGCCCCTGACCAGCATCTCTGCTTTAATCTCTAGGGATGCCCCAATGTCTGGAGCACCAAACTTACATGAGAGTTGCAGATATGGCAAAGTCTCACCTCCGGCTGCTGATAAATAGACCAGGCAGCCTAGATACAAATCTTTAGCACAAGCTAAAGAAATCACTGCCTGTGCCAGGAGATGGACCTCAGCCTCTGCCTTAGGGGAAAAGAAACTGAAACAAATGTACTGATCAATTCTCCAGAACTGTCTGGGACAAACTTTTACTTAAAAATGGATCCCCTAAATCACTATGGTCCATAAAGTGCATGGTAATCTTTCATTTTAACTCTGAACTTAGCACAGCCTACAGACCGGAGAAGGGAGTACAAACTCAGAGATTACCCAGATCAAATTGGCCTGTAGCAACATCCGTGGAATTATTTTGATTGTTATTTGATGTAGCATCCAGCCCACAGTAGGTGGAGTTATTCCCTGGGCAGATGGGCTCTTGCTACACAAGAAAGCTAGCAGAACATGAACCTGTGATTGAGTGAGCCAGCAAGCAGCATTTCTCCACAGTTTCTGCTTCAAGATCCTGACTGAGTTCCTGTCTTGACTTCCCTCAGTGGTGGACTATGACCGGAAACTGTAAGGCAAATAAATCATTTCCTCTCGTAAGCTGCTTTGGTCAGAGTTTTATCACAGCTAGAACAGTATGCCTTACCCACATCTGTTGTTCTCTGAGTTAGAGTAATGTCCTTGCTTCTAAAGTAAGATATTATCCAGTCCTCAATTCAAACATGTCAAGTTAAAAAACATGATCAGACTGTTCTCTACCTACATCTTCTTTGCTTTATGCATTCTTTTTTTTTTTTTTTTTTT